ATGCATCAATTATTCAAATGAATTATTAAAATAATAAAAACTTAACTTTTTTAAATAAAATAAAATCTATATATTTAAAAAAATTCAGTTAAATTTTTCTAAAAATTGTTCCTAAAAAACCAAAAATAAATGATATTTTTAAAGTTTTTGATATATTTATAAATAACTGTGTATAAAAGAGGAAGAAGATGAAGATGAGGCATGATGAGTGTCAAAGATGAAGAATATCATCTTCATCTTTGACACTTTATTTATAAATGTATACATCTAAGAACATCTTTTATGTAAGATATAGACGTTCTTAGAAGAGATGCGAACATGAAGAACATCTTCATACATCTCTTAACGTGTCAAAGATGAAGATGAAGAGCATAATCCTCATCTTTAGCACGTTAAGAGATGCATGAAGATAATCTCTTCTAAGAACATTTTATCTCTTATTTAAATCTTAAATAAAGATAAAAATGTTCTTAGAAGAGATGTATGAAGATGAAGAACATCATTCATCTTAGAGTGAAGAGTGGTAAGATGATAGAGAAGAGTAAGATCTTCTTTCTCTTTTACACGTAATTTGTAAAGAAAAGTACGATATATACTAGAATTTTTTAAATAAAAGTGATGATTCATCCGCATCAATTCATCTCCTAAATTAAGAAAATACAATTAAAAAAATTTAAAAATGAAAGAAGTGATTACTTAACAAAATTAAAACTTATTCTTCTATCAAGAGGGAAAAAAACCCTCCAGATATATTGTAAAGTATATGAAGATAATTAAAATTGCTAATTCTTTTGTGCAAACTTCAGCAAATTCTAGAAGATTAAGAGATGTTAATGACTTTTGAATTGATTCAATGATGCTTGATTTATCTATAATACAGTATTTTTAATATTAGAATACATTAGATAATGGTAGAAACGATAAAAATTGAGTAAGAACAATCTTCTTTGTTATTTATTACTGTTCATACGACTACAATGAATGATCTAGAAGCATATTTCTTCTCTCTTTACAAGAGGATAGACTAGCATTGAAGATGCGATTCCGACATTCTGTCGACGAAACGAAGGGATGTGATGGTGTCGTTGACCTCTACAAGGCCTTACAACTACGTATTCCTTATATTTATCATCTGCTTTTGACACACAAACAGCCAATTCTTCTACATCTCTTCGTTTGTGAAAGGATGAGGAAGAGCAAGAGCAAGAGCAAGATCATGTGCAGCATCACTTCAATTATGATGCAAATAATTTCTTTTAAAAATCTTCGATTGTTTTAAACACTTTTTCCTTTATTTTCATCTTATTTAAACGAGAAGATAACTTAATTAACTTCTCCATTTTCTCCTGTTTATTAACAACGAGCGGGATTTAAATGCAATTTATCTTCTTTCTCTACTTTGCTAGTTTGTTCGAGAGGAAACAGGTGGAGCAAAGTGATTTTAATACTTTTATAGCATTTATTCTCTTGCCTTGATCGTAAATAACGTTCTGGAATTACTTTAAGTAGTGTTGCTTCTTCAGAATTCGTTATAACGCATCCGACTATGCGAACGGCGCGAACGATTGCTTCGCGCTTTCCTTGCGTTTATTGTATATTATTGTATATTTTCTTTATTTATAACATAAAAATAAATCCTTTTAATGTTTGCACAAATAAATAAGTAAAATTATTCTACTTTAATGAATATTTTTAGGATTTAAAATAGATAAATGATATAATTAATATAGTGCACGCGCGGCGTAACATCGTATCGCGCCTCGACAATAATTCAAATATCCGTTCTTCATTTATAAAAAATGTAATTACTTTATTTTATAAATTTAATAAAAAGTAATTTAAAAACTTCTTAATTATTCTAAAAAACAATATAACAACATTTTAATTTCTATAAAACTAAAATTCACAGATTAAACAGGCGCGTCGCTACTTGGCGCGCGTCACGCGCGCCAA